TCCTCCTTCACTAGGCTGAGATATCTTGGCCCTGATGGACAGTTTAAACTACTTAGGAAAAGAGTGTGGCTATCCTGTGATACCCTCTCTTAATCTAGTAATAAAAGCGATAACACTGGCTGGCCTTTAGACCACATCTTCGTACCTCAGCTTTTCGGCTCAAGATTGCTATTGCTTTGGGTTCTGCATTTATCCCTCACCAGTGTCTAAGACCAGGGGAAAATGAGGATAGGTGACTTTAACACACAAGAAAGAATCATCAGAAGTCACCTTACAAGGACATACAGAGCCTTGATCACAGTCACGTCCTTCTCCGACATCCCATTACACCTTACATCTGTATATACTAAACAGACGCCAATAGATCTTCCATCTGGCTGCTCTATTACATCTCAGGTAAAACATACATACAGAGAGAAGCTCCCAGATACTCCAATCAAGAAACCATCATAAGGGGCCAAATTAGAAGTGAGGGGAGCCCATTTCACATTTTACAAATGGCAGGAAGGAATGATCATTAAAAATTTAAATTGTGAAAATAATTTAATTTGAAAGAGGAGAGTGAAAAAAAAAGAGGACAACTATAATTGAAAAAACCCAAATTTATGGACTGTTTTACATTTGCATGGAAATTTGAATTAGGCTTCAAAAATTCTCCTCTGATTTACATGTGCAGAAAAATTGTTCTCAGACATCCTTCACCAATATTTCCTACTCCCAGAGTACTTTCCATAAATATTTATGTGAGAAGTGATTTGACTCTTTCCTCGTTTCTGCTGGCCCGCTTGCCTATTCAATTTTTTTTTAAATTTCTGTCAAAATGAAACACTAGCTGGTGGAATGGATAAGCGGCTTAAAATGTAGTCTCTAGTCGATTGAACCCGCACTGTATGATACCTGAATATTCACAGATAAGTTCCACATCCAAACTGGTACTTCTCACCACATCAGAGCCACCGAACTGAACCTCCTCATTGGAGATTTGTTAGAAAACTACTTGCCATTTCTAGCCAGGAGTTAACTGCAGTTTTTTTTTCTTTTATTATTTATTCCCTTAACTGTAGCTGTTCTATGATGGAAATTATCCTAAGTTGGATATGCTTATGATAAAAAGAAAATAGATCAAACTTATTCTAGTTATCAAATCTCCATGGGTAATTATTTGTCTTAAACTTCAGATCCTGCTCATTTGGTCATTTCTGGAGGTCTGCATGTTCTTTGCTGACCTAAATGTAGTATCAACTCCTTGAATTCAGGCTGGAATTTCAACGAGAGAGATGAAGCACAGAGGGTTCTACTTATGGCATAACTTACTATTGGGACACACTCACACAATCTTGAAAAAGGCTTTGCTTATTTTCCACTTAGGCTTTGGGTGGTTGAGGTTTAGTACTATTAGAGTCTCAAATATAATAAGTGAATATGGATAAAATTATAAATACTTGATGCTACAAGAATTTCACAGAATGGCAGGAGCAAATTCTGTTTGCTGGTTTTAGTAGCAGAGCTGTCCCAGCTGTCTCACTCAAGACATTTTCATTACAAAGTTCCAGCCAGCCACTTTGCCCTGTGGTCCAGTGTAAAGGTTCCCTTGCAAATCTCCCTAAGAGATAGCACAGCAGATGACTATATCCCAAAGATCTAGTGCTGATACCGATCCAATTTGAACTGAAGCTGAGATCTTGGGTTTGTGAATATGGTTTTCCAACAATTAAAAGAAAAAGGAGCATTTGAAAATGGGAACAATGAGGGTCACCAATACAAGTGAGGGCAAAATTAGACGATTATAATTAGTGGCATTATTTGACAAGATTATTTAAAAAACAGGCTTTAAAGATATAAACTCAGAGGAAAGAAGTTTTAATTTTACACTGAACTACCCAAATGCATATAATTTTAATATAATATAAAAAGAACAGTATAGTGGAACCACAAAGTTTTTGAAGTGGTTTCCATCTGTGTATAAGAATTTAAGTGACCATATGAAGTAAGGAAAAACAAGAAGGTTCAAAGTGATGTATCCACAAGGATTGTTCAAATAATACAATACATACTACACAGTTGGTAAGAAGTGGTGGTTCAGAGAGAGGTTAGCTATTATTTTACGTAATCATTTAAATAAGAGATTAAATAAATTAAGATGCAAAACACTGATTTATACAGAACATTTCCAAATACGGAAGCTATACAAAAAAAATTGCTACTCTTCATTACTGTCAAGAGGATTCATATTCTAAGCAGTTGTTCCCTCATAGGTGCAATATTTTATTTAGTTCCTATTAAATCTATAGTATATGTTTCAAGATAAGGACTGGCTATGGAAAAGTATTTCGTTCTGGGAAAAACCAAAAATGGGGATTAAACCCATAATATGGGCTGCATGACACCTAGTGAAAAACTAAGTGAACTGATCCAGGCTTCAAGATGTAGGACATATTCTAATTTAACATCATACTGTGACTATCGATTATTCAGCAAAACTCATGGGATGCTTAAATTTATAGTGACTGGGCAAGGCTCTTCAAACAACTGTGATAAGCAAATAGAGTAAAACATTCTTTAAAGAAGACTTACCTGCTCTCTCTCTGTGTTGTTTATCAGAGAGAACCTGTAAAAAAAAAAAAAAAAAGAAATCACAACATCTTAGTATCTCAAAATTATACTACTTTCATCAAAAATAACATCATCAAGTTTGAAAAAATATCAGATTGTACAATTGGAATGAATGACCTCCATAAATGAAAATAAAATGCCACGAGGGTATTAGGATTGAATAATTTTAGACTGAACAAATTGTTTGGGATAATAAACATAATTAAAACATTTATTTACAAGGAAAATGTGTTAAGTTTGTTCTTTTTTGCATTATATAAAAATTCACGCTATTCTACATCCATTTAGTAACCAAAAGACTCAAGTCTAGTTTTTGTCTTCTACTCCACTGTCCTTGTGTCACCAACAACCTCCTTTGTGCTAATATCAGTCCCTACCCCACTTTCTCTGTAACACTCCAACAGCCAAGGCAGCTGAGCACTCCTCCTTTCTAAATTTATCTTTCTGGGATTTTGTTTTCTCACACTCTCCCTGCTCTCTGTTTTATTTCTCTACCTGCTCCTTCTCATTTTCTTGGTGGGCTCCTTTTTCACTTGTGCCCTTCTTATATGTTGATTTCATTTACTTTTGTTTTATTTTGTTTTGTCAGGCATTGCTCAGGGCCTTCTCTTCTCACTGCATTTTTTCCAGGGTTATCTCATCTACTTTTCATCCATATTCTGATAACTCCAGATTTATACCTTGACCACATCTCTATCCTTGAGCTCCAGGCCAATAGAGGAAACTTTTACTGGACATCTGCTTTGGGACATTTCACAGATACCGCAAATTCCATGTTTCCAAAGCCCAACATTATGCACCCCCTTACATGCACACCCAGGCTCACACTGATCCTTTTTCTGTGTTCCCATCTTACTGAAAGGCTCCATCATTCCTATGGACTGACTGTGTGCTCCCCACCCACCCCCACACCGAATTCATACATTGAAGCATAATCCCCAATGTGAAAGTATTTGGAGGGAGGCCTCTGGGAGGTATTTAGGTTTGGTTGAGATCATAGGCGTGGGTCCTCCAAGATGGGGGTGGTGCTCTTAAGAAGATGAAGGGCTCAGAGCTCTTTCTCTATATGTGAAGACACAGCAAGAAGATGGTGATTTGCAAGCCACAGAACAGGCTCTCACCAGTCCGCGAATATGCCAGTACCTTAATTTTAGACTTCCAGCCTTCAGATCTTGAGATATAATGTTTGTTGTTTAAGCCACCTAGTCTATAGCATTTTTGTTATAGCAGCCCGAACTGACTAAAATAGGTATCTACCTGGTTGCTCAAATCAGAAACCCAAAGATCATCCTGAGTCTTTGCTGTCCATCTAGTTAAATTGTTGATGCCTACTCCCAAATATTGCCTAAATCCATCTACTTCTTTTCATTCCTATTTCCACCTCTGAGCAACATTCAGGTCTTGCTTAGATAATTGCAATAGTTTCCTAATTTCTAGCCGGATACTAGTCTTATTCCCCTCCAAACTATTCACACCCAGTGTGACCCTTCCAAAATACAATATCATCATGTCATTCCTTGTAAAACCGTTCCCCATTGTCCTAAGAATAAATAAAGTTTAGATCACATGCTTACGATCATATGCTTAGCAATCGGGAAGACAGTGACTAGCTACATGACCTTCAGAAAGTTGCCAAATTTCTCCGAACCTCACTTCCTTGTCAGTCAAATGGGGTTGCTTTCAGGAGTAAATAAAATAATTCATGTGATGTGCTGAGCAGCAAGTGTGGTATAGAAGAGACATATGATGAACATTTGTTGATTTTTCTGAAGTGTAAATTCCAAAAAACAGAGACTGAAATTTTACTAATTTTTTCAAAGCATCGAGTAAATGATACTCTACAGGAGTCAGGGATGAAGGAAGCAAAATACTGATGCACTTAAAGCTTTGTCCTTGATATCTCAGTTCCAACCCACCCCATTTTTTATTCTCTTTTTCTCACTCTACTCTATGTCTCTGCTCACAATTATCCGGGTAAAACAAATCCACAAAAGAGTCAATTTTCCCAAAGATCTCTGCAGTTTAAAGAGTACCATCTGACAATACACACTAAGTATTGACCTCTTAACAGTAAAACTTCAGACGCTGTCACAATGAGGAGGAAAATTTCTCTCCACATTTCTCAGGTAATAACAAGAAGGTAACTACTTACTGCTCTAGAAAAAACCCAACCTGACAGCAGGCGGTAGCTTAGCATATTTATTTATTTATTTAGTAGTAGTATAGCATATTTAGATGGTTCTGACTTGGTCTGGAAGCAAATTTATTATGATTATTTGATTTAGAATAGCATGTAGAATAAAGTTAGAAAGTAAAATAACTCACATTAACAATTATCTTCTAAATATCTTCTTTTTTTACCAAGAGATTATTTTGGAGACAGTTGATAAAAACCACACGTCCTTTTTATTGTTAAGTCATAAAGAGGTATCAAAATTAAAAGCAAAAATTACAGGGTAAGACTTAACATAACTACTAGGAGCATCAAAGGAAGTGAAAATGGGACTAGGCGCAGGGCAATATGAATTAATGAACATGGGAAGGACAAGGATGGGGAGAACAGTGAGCATGTGCTGAAGAAGATACTAGGGGAGAGGATCTGGTGAAAATTTTGATCTTAGACAAGCGCCTAGGTAAAGAAATAATGGGACAAGATTTCTAAACCCCACTATGTGCTTAAGAGTCATCCTCGCCATTGGCGCTGTCTCTGTCATCCTCTCCTTCCTCAGCCTCTTTTTCATCATCCTTGATCAACTCCAGCTGGTCATCCCCCCGATCTTCATTATCATCATCATCCAGTAGGTCCCCCTCCTCAGCAGAGTCATCTGCACCCCCCTCAGACTCCATCTTCACATTAGTCTCATCTTTCTTCAGGGAGCTGCTGCTCTGCTCCTCTTCTGACTTATCATTCTTCATCTCTACTCCTTGTTTGCTCTGTTCTTTCTCAATTTTTTCCAGGCTTTCCAGTAGAGAATCCACTTTTTGTTTTATCTGGGTCAACTCCTTCTTAATGGTCTGAAGGTCATCACCTTTCAACTTTCCAGACTTGGAAGAAGATCCTCGCTGTCCACTCTTAGAATTGAAGCCACTTTTGCCTCTTCGTGAGGTGTTTCCTGATACACGCTGGCGTTTTGAAGGAACTACAGCCCGAGCAATAGGAGGAGGAGGAGGAACACGTGCTGGGTAACTATACATCCTGTCATAATAATCTCGTTGAAAGTCATAGTCCAAGTCAAAAGAGGAGCTGAGTAGAGGGGACGGAGAAGGGTGTTCTGGTACTGACCCGTACATCTCCGCTGCAGATCGTTTCACACCTGCTTTTCCTCGGTTCACTTTTGGCTCTGCAGCCAGATTAATATCTAAAACCTGGCCAGCAATCATTCTGCCATCCTCTCCTGCCACAGCAGCACGGGCATTTCTCTCATTAACATACTGAACAAAGGCAAAGCCCTTATGAACAGAGCAACCCACAATTTTGCCATATTTTGAGAAGATCGCCTCCACATCAGATTTCTTGACCACAAGAGTATTGAGATTCCCAATGAATACACGGGAGTTCATGGAGCGAGGATCTGTCTTGTTGGTAACATTGCTGGCCATTTTCTTTGATGTTAAGGTTCTTCACAAAGCTGAAAAACAGGAGGGGGAAGGGAGAAGAGATTCGATTCTGAATCTCCTACTCCCGGGTTCTACGTAGAGAAGCCAACTGCTGCTCGAGGTCGACGACCCGGCCGCACAGCTCAGTCTTCGTCTCTTCACAAAATGCTTCTAAATATCTTCTAAGCATCATAATAATGTTTTAGTCATCATACAAAGAAATAACCCAGTAGAATTCAACCTGAACTGTTTAAGAATTCTCACTTATGAGAAATTACTACAGAGAAATTTCAGCCTGAGGGCTTATAAAGAAAACAAAACCTATTAAGTAGGCCTCCTCACCCACTCCTTCAGATTGAGTGCTAACATAGCTACTCATATGTTAATAAGAAATAATCCTTCACAGAATAATTAGAAGTTAGATTACCTGATCCCAAAATAAATTGATACAACCTAGGTGGAAGAGGGATTCCGAGATAAAACAGACTATTTGATTAAGTATGGTTGATTATTATATAGCTCTAAATATAAAATGTTACATTAAAGATATATAGAATTTGAATTTGATAAATATAAAAATTGATATGGAAATATGAAAAATATTAATGGTGAGTGTCATGATGAGAAAAAAATGTAGAAATTAAATACCTAAGATTAGCACAACAAAAATTAGTGCTCTTGAAAACTGAATGTATTTGGAAAATATTACTGAAGTTCAAAGATTTCAGAGGTATTTAAAAATGAACCCTAACATAATAACCATTTAAATAGTACATGAAAAGTTAGAAGCAGAGGTATTGACACTCATCTCCCAGGAAAACTGATGTGGCAAAGAATAAGTAAATAAATAAATATTTATTTATTTATTTTTATTAATTATATTTATTTATATGTATTTTCTAGAATATGTCAGCTCTAAACATTTATAAATGTGATGGAGAACATATAATTTCTTATAGACATACAGCAATATTTTAACATAATAATTTTCATTAAAAATCACTAGATGCCAGGGGCTTGAAGAAGGAGGAAACGGGAAGCTATTTAATGGGTACAGAGGTTCAGTTTTGCAAAATGAAAACAGTTCTGGAGATAGAGGTGGTGAGGGCTGCATGGCAATGTGAATACTTATGCCACTAAAGTGTATACTTAAAATGGTTAAGAACAAATTTATGATATGCTTATTTTTCTACAATTAAAAAAGACACATAAAAATCTCTAGATGCACATATTCTATTGTAACTCAAACCCCTTTAGGCCCTGGCAATATATCACATTGATATATATCTCTAAGAACTAAAAATGTGACTTATGGGCAGAATACAGGAAATGATACTAACTTGGAGATAATTATTTATACTCACCTAAAGTTACCATTAGATTATAGTCAGCTTCAGAAACATAAGAAAGAAGGGTGCACTTTAGAGCAGAATGTGGGATGTCATTCACTGATGCCAAGTTAGTTAGATAAAATGTTTCTAGACCACCAATGGGTTGTTGAGTGCTTTGTCAGTATATAGAAACACACATGCTGGGTGCTTGACAGTTCATCTCTGTTGTATAGATGGCTGGAGGCAGGTAAGTCATCAAAGCTGCAGATTAGGAACTCTAGAACTGTTAGAATTATTCTATCTTACGCAAAAATTATAGTAAATTCCTTTGAATTAAGTTGAAGAGTCTTCTGCCTCATTTGAGGAGATCTCCCAGAAGGTATTAAGTTTTTAATACCTCTAAAGCCGTAATGATTATAAATCCATGTTCACACAGTCTAAGAATAACAGCATTTTAGGAATTGTTTTATGATATGGCTGGATTTAAAACACAATTGCTTTTTGGAACAAATTTACCCAGATAAACAACCCTTGCCCACACAGACAAATATGCAGATTAAATGAACAGAACAATACCAGATAATCATAAAATATCCAGATAATTTTGGGGGGAGGCTATGGTCCTTGGGGCACATGATGATCCATCAAGTCAATAAATACATGAACTACTACTGTCCGAGAGAAATCAGAAAGCTATATCCAACACTGCTGCTCCTGAAACACAGAGGACATACTCGATCCTAACACTGTCATTGTAAACCTTTAAAACCCAAAGGAGCAGATAAAATACCAAAGTAAATAAATTCTTAAATAAACCCGTAAACCATTTTACTCTTTGCTCTTTACTTTGTCCAGAATACACCCGCTGGTTTCAACCTCAATAAATTATATTCAGAGGTGACCCTGATTTAAACATCACAGAAGAATGTCTAAGGAGCAATGACCAAATAAAACTAATCACCAGATCATCACTAGAAAGTTGGCTTCCTTGGACAAATAGAAGGGATGTGAGTATTACACACTGACTTTGGCCTAAATAAATTAAGGATGACTGACACTGATGTAAGTGAATTTATCTCTCAAAAAAACTTTTCCTAATCCTCATGTTAGCTACCTAATAGGTCATGTACAAACTATATGTAAAAATAAAAACTATGTAAAAATAAAACAAACTATATGTAAAAATTAAAATGAAAGAGAAAAGAAAATATGCTAAGCATTAAAATCTATAATTTCAGAGTCACTTTAAAGGAGTCTTACCTATAGAGAGGTTCAACCAACGTATCAGTTCATGAAGAAAAAAATGAAAATATTTATGTTCTTTTATCACCAAGCTGAACTCTCAATATTGACTTTAAATTTGAATTCAAAATATTCCAGAGAAGTTTCCAAAACTTCTTATTTCTGCAAAAATTCTGTATACTTTTCCTACCTAATTCTCAAAGCAATTTTTTCTTTGACTCAGGTTGAGAAAAGACTAAAGTGACTCTTAGTTGGTGGGGTAAGTGGAGAAACAGAAGTAATCAACTTCTTCACCATTTCCTATGCAATGAAAGCACCCTCCCCCAAAATGCAGTAAAAACAATAGAGAGAATACACAATTTTAGATCTACTCTTTATTTTTATTTGATCTTCCTTGATTTCCTCTAGACCCGAGATACATAATAATGATTATTTCAGTGCATACAAAAATCTCAATGAATTTTAAACATAACAGCCACATGAAAATCTACTTTTCCAGATTTAAAAACATTTTGGTTCAACCCATGATGTATAAATCTTTCTACTTCTAAATTGAAATTTGGGTGTATATATATATTAGTATTCACATATTTGAGTAGATCTGGTAAGTAATATATAATTTTAGATGTTTAATCTAAATGCAAAAAAAAACAGTCTTTACTAGCTTAGTGAGTCTAAAATGATGTTATTTAATAAACCATGGCATTTTAATAAGCATTCTTGACATCTGGTGTTAATAAAAAGGATTTTATATTTTACAGTTAACATTTAAAGAAAAAACATGACTGCAGTTTTGCTATTTATCACAGACCACAGATGGCATAGGCCACATTTGGGTGGCTTCATTTCCTTCTTGATTAGTTTATATAAAGAGGCCACTTGTTTTCTCTCTTTCTGTGTATGTTTTATATAAGATTTGGACTAAGTCCCAGAAATGAATAAATGAAGGAAGAAAGGAATGCATTAAATAAAAATTAAGTTTCTTAATAACAAAACTGATTATAGAATTTTCCTGGATCCAGTTTAGTTAATAAAGTTCATTTTAAACAGTGATCCAAGGAATTTTGCATCTGGATAAATATTTGAAGTAAGTTTTCCAGAACTGGGGAAAAAAAAAAAAATAACAAGGACCTAAAAATTTCCATTTCTGTATAACCAGTCTCACTAGGCAAAGTTGACCAATCCTTTGATTCAAGGCAGGTTTTGCTAGGACCTGTATGGAACCAGCAGCTGAGCATGTGGCCACTGGGACAACTAGCCTTGTCTGTGGACCATGAACCAAAAATATAGGTCTTCTTATCCTGCTTGCTCAGACTTCCTGTGTCCCTCCCTTTAGGTCCTCCCTTTATGCCATCCTGTTCCAACTTAGACATTGGACTTTTACTTTCCCCACATTGACCCCAACATACCAGCTCTTTACTCTTTCTTCTAGAAGATGTCACTACTACTCTGGGAACATTAACGCAATACTATAAAGTATGGATCCTATGAATTTTCATTAAATTTTGTTAGAAGAATTGAAAAGTAATGACTATACTTACACAAGTGTTTACCAGGTAGTAATAACATATTAAGTTATGAGTAATAATATTATGTTATGAGACACTCAAAGTAAAACAACAGAACACTGAATGCAAAGCCAATGAATTAATGTCAGAAATGGAGAAATAAGAGTATGAATTAACTCAAAAACAAACATTTTTTCTTCTTATTTAGTTTGGAATTATTTAATAATCATAAAAAGTGTTTGGTTTCATTATTTAAACACAGATTTCCTAGCCAAGTAGTATCATAGGCCTAGTGAAAAATACTTTGAGTGTGTTGGCCCAGTTATCTAGCTTTACAAGAGGGCTGATTCATTCACCTTAAGACAATTTGTGGGCGAGTAAAAGACTCCAGAGTTTGACCATCTAGAAGAAGATATAGGACATATGCATGTAAACCAAGTAGAAAGCTATTCTGTGAAGCATGTGTTTCAGTATAGAATTAACTAACTTAGGTAAGTGCAGTTAACATTTAAGAACACCTTAAAGTTAGTACTGAAAAGAATTCCACTACTTTTGGGTAATGTTGTTGGAAATCTAGCTGGATTTGGATGAAACTATATTCTCGACTTGAATGAGATCCCAGTCTACAGCAGAGGACAGCTCCATAATGACAAAGCTATCCTATGGAACAAGCATACCGATAATAGGTGTATGCAAGGCATAACGGTTGCACAGAGAAAGGTTCAATGGATCTCACGAAGAGAATCAAAGGATGTTCATATAGAGAATAATAGTCAAGATGGCTCTCAAAGAATAATCTCACTGGAAAAAATAAGAGGGAGAGAGGAATTCAAGAGAGAAGGAAGAACATATACAATGGAAGGGGGCAGAGGAGATCATGAATGTTTGGTCTAATGCAAGTATTCTGATATTGCTGTACATCAGTGATGGGGAAGAGTGTGAAGTGATGGGATTAGAAAGATAGGAATGGGCAAGATAATAAAAGAGTTTTTTATACTATAGTAAGGAGTTGGGAATGATTTCTATGAGTAATATGGACTCCAACAGAGTTGACTGTGTAATAGTAAATCTGGAGGCTGTA